CCCCCCCCCCCCCCCCGCCCTGATCCAATCCTGCTGTTGCTGCTGATGCGCACGCCCGCTGCATCGCTGGGTCTCTATCCAAACCCGCACGCCGCAAGCCCTGAGCCCTAGAGTCCCTAGAGACACGTCGGCGCGCCAGACCCTAGACCCTAGACCCTAGACCCTAGACCCTAGACCCTAGACCCTAAACCCTAAACCCTAAACCCTAAACCCTAAACCCTAAACCCTAAACCCTAAACTCTAAACCCTAAACCCTAAACCCTAAACCCTAAACCCTAAACCCTAAACCCTCAATCGAGAGCCGAGCCGAGCCCTTCAGAATGGCGAAGCCACACCTTTCAAGATGCATTCAGCACGCCTGAAGCCCTCTTCCCCGAAAACATTCAGGGGGGTTTCTGAAAATAGGGGTACCCTGTTGGGGTCCTTATTCTAGGGCAATCCTATTTTTTGGTGACTACATTAGGGGTACCTGATTGTCATAAACCCCCCCCCCATCTTACACCCAGGTTCAAGCAGACCATGGTCTTGCTGATCGTGGAGCACACAGTGCGTGGCCCTGAGGTGAAACCTCATGGGTTTAGGGTTTAGGGTTTAGGTTTAGGGTTTAGGGTTTAGGGTTTAGGGGTTTAGGGGTTTAGGGGTTTAGGGGTTTAGGGGTTTAGGGGTTTAGGGGTTTAGGGGTTTAGGGGTTTAGGGGTTTTTTAGGGGTTTAAGGGTTTTAGGGGTTTAGGGGTTTAGGGGTTTAGGGGTTTAGGGGTTTAGGGGTTTAGGGGGTTTAGGGGTTTAGGGGTTTAGGGGTTTAGGGGTTTAGGGTTTAGGGGTTTAGGGTTTAGGGTTTAGGGTTTAGGGTTTAGGGTTTAGGGTTTAGGGTTTAGGGTTTAGGGTTTAGGGTTTAGAAGGCACCCTTTCGGCCTGCCCCCCTGCACTCCGCGAACCTTGACGCCTTATTCTGTACACATTCTGTGTATTCCTTCAAACCTAAACCCGAAACCCTCAACCCCAAAAACCCTAAATCCAAAGATGACATGTTCTGCGTGTAGACGTGTTCTGTACAGTTGTTCTTGTTCCTACATGGTTTTCGAAGCCAAGCCTTTGTTTGCCCAACAAGTGTCAGGTCCGCTCTGGTCGCTCTTTTGATCATCGCGCGGCTCGCCTGCAGCCATGTAGGAGCCCGAAGATTACGACGTTTTTTTTGTGTGTCGCAGGTGTAGGCTTTCGGTTTCTTCGGGGTTTAGTTTTCCTAAACCCTAAATCCCAAACCTAAGCCCCAAACCCCAGTTGGGGTGGGCCTAGGGGGTTTTGGTGGATTGGGGGGGGGGGGTTGTGGAGCTCAAGAGGGGCTCTTGCCCTTGCAGAGATTCTCAAGGAGAGGGGGTACTATTATCGGCTATAGGGCTCTAGGGTTCTTAAGGGAGGTGGTTAATGGGGGTAGGTACCTAGGGAACCTCACAGAAGCTCAGGAAGCACTGGGGAGTAGTAGGATGTAGTAGGAAGTAGTAGGGAACCTTGGGAGACATACCCCCCTTGAACCCCCACTCCTGTAAGGACCCTATAAGCTAATATAGGCGTTTTCATAACTAAAACAAGATCTTGGGGGGTCACTATCGTATACATACTGTCCGTAAGGGAATACTTTTTAGTAATATATTGCCCCCCCTATGTTACGCGAGCCGCCTCGGCCTGGGCCTGCCCAGCGGCGAGGCAACCCAGACCGGAGATCGCGGGTGTGAAGCCTGTTGTGACACGCAGGCTCACGTATAGACCAGGCGCCCCAAGTGTGGGAGTGGTAAAACAAGAAACCCCAAATGTGGGAGTGGTTAAAGAAGAAGTCGGCCGGGAAATCCCGGTAGAGGAGGCGGGTTGAAGGGCGGGGGGAAGGGGGGGGGGGGGGGGGGGGGGGGGGGGGGGGGGGGGGGGGGCGGATGTGGTGTCTATGGTCGGGCTTAAATGTCCCTCGTCCTGATGCACCGTGCGCGTGGACACCTACACATTCCAGGCAAAAAAGTGCCAAACTCCCTAGGGCCCGAGCCCCGGCGGAAAATGCAGATGTCGCAGCTGTGAGATACATTTTAGTATATACACCTGGCTCATTTGGTCAACAATCATAATTGCGGATTCCACAACCACCGAAAAACTCATCCTTACAACCATCCAAAATCCAAAGCAGCCCCAAACAACTCCAAACTCTGAATCTGAACACTGACACCAAAGAACCCCTAAACTAAGCCCCCTGGCTCAGTTGGAAGGTTTGGCGCGGGGGGCCGAAACTCCTGGTGACCGGCCCAGAGAGCTTTGCACTTTTGGCATTTGCGTGGATTGGGCACTTGCTTGATTTGCAGGTGTGTGCAAACGCATCCTACATTCACGGTGAACTTGGGCTATAGATGGTGCCGAAGTAAATGCATGCATACATCATACATGCACATACGATTGCCAGAATTTTGCCGGTTCCTCGCTAGGCTCCCGTACCTCAAGTCGCAGGGCATCGTCGCTTGTGCCTCCCTCAGCTTTCCACAGCGAGATCGCAAATGGGATTTTGGAGTTGTGGCCAGATTCGGGTTTAGGGTCTAGGGTTCAAGGTTCAGGGTTTAGGGTTTAGGGTTTAGATTTAGGGTTTAGGGCAGATTCCCCACTCTGCAAGAGGGTAGCTTTGGCTCGAGCCTGTGACTGGCAAAGCCCATGGAAAATCCCGGATCGATGTCAGGTGCGGCAGCGCTCATTTCGCGCCTGCAGCAGTATGCCCAGGAGCGCGTGGCCGGTGCTAGGGCTACAATCTTGACGAATCTTGAGAAGGCAACTGGGCTCCCTGTGGTTATGGATGTTGCCTTGCCAGGTGCAGCTTACTTTTCCGTCGCGGCTGGAGGGCTCTGTGACGTTCTCAACTTGTTGGGAGATGACATTGTAAAGGTCGATCGGTTTGTTGGTGCAAGTGGCGGTGCTTGCAGCCTCTTCCTGATTCTTGCCAACGACAAGCGAGGAGCCACGCAGCAAGATGCTGCACCGGCCGGTCGCTGTCCCAGCGCGGATCTCCTGCTCCAGTCCTACCTCGAATACGCCGAGTCGGAGGGTTCCAGCGGCCTGCAACGATCCCTCAGCGCATTCTGGCAAGCTGTCGGAGGGGTGTCCTCTTTCTGGGAGGAGAAGTACCGGGCCCTCCTTTCCGAGGAGCCGGCCTGGTCGGCGGTGCGGGCGCGCGGCTTCTGCGCGGTCGCCGCGAGGCCTCTGCGACAGCAGATGTTTGGGGCAGCCCGGGATTCCGGTGCCGTCTACCACGCTGTGGGGGACAACTACATCTTCCATAACTTCGTGGAGAAAGAGGAGGCTGTACAGGCATTCGTGGCAACCGGGGAGGCAACAGCAAAGGGCTTCACCAGGGGCATCCGAGTTCTTGCCGGTGAGCCGAGGCTTTCCGTGAAGCAACCAGGGTCCCAAGAGATGGAGCAGGATGGGGTTTAGGGTTTAGGGTTTAGGGTTTAGGGTTTAGGGTTTAGGGTTTAGGGTTTGGAGTTTAGGGTTTAGGGTTTAGGGTTTAGGGTTTAGGGTTTAGGGTCTAAACCCTAAACCCTACGTGCAGGGCCTGCCCGCCAGCTTCTGTGATGGTGGGCGGCCGGCGAACTTTGACGCCCTGCATAGTGGCAGGAGTCCCAACTCCCTGCTCTACTACAACACCTGGTTCGAAAGTGCCTCTATCCCCCTTGGGAATTACTTTTGTGTTTTTGTGTATATAGAACCCAAGAGGATATTAAACATACTATTTTTACTAAGGTTCTAAGGGGAGTATAGGTGCCTCTGAAGCTGCATTCTGTACACCGGCAAGCATCGAGCATCTCTACAAGCGGGGTGTAGATCGGACCATCGACTGCTTGCTCAGCAGCTCCTTGTCCTCACCGGCTCCTGGGGCACCGAACGTGGCCCGGACGGGAGGGCCCGCCAAAGACACTTACTTTAGCCAACAGCTGAACTTTAAGCTTTTTTGTGGGTCTTTCTTACTTAGTAACTTAGTAGGAATGATGAAGCTTAACCCTTTTTACCCCTTGGGTTCCTTCCTTATTTAGTAGGAATATATGAAGCTTGTGACCTTTTTCCCCCTTTGGGCTCTTAAAAACAGAAAGGACAGTATGGTCCTGGCCCTGGCTGGCGCCGATCCCGTCGCGGAGATGGCGAAGATCGGGGCCAAGACCTCATTGTACCTTGGTAGCCCAGTGGCACCCTTTACCCTTTTTTTGGGTTCTGGGTTCCCTTACAAATGAACCAACCCAAAAAAGGGTGCCCTGATTAAATAAGATGGTTACTGGGCTACTAAGGTACGGCGGCTCCTTCGTGAATCTTGCGGCAAAGGAGATCCGGGAGCAGCAAAGCCTTGCCTGAGTGGTGGTTAGGTTTCAAGGTTTAGGGCTTAGGGTTTAGGGTTTGGGGCTTAGGGTTTAGGGTTTGGGGTTTAGGGTTTAGGGTTTAGGGTTTAGGGTTTAGGGTTTAGGGTTTAGGGTTTAGGGTTTAGGGCTTGTTTTGCGTACGCGTGCGCGCCTTGATTCGGGCAGCAAAAGCTTGGACCACTGGAAGCCAGGTGCCGAAGGCAGTGTCCCCGTCCGGCAGCCCAAGCACCCTGAGCTTGCCCAACATCCCTAAAGCTGATTTTTTGGGTTTTGGGGTTTTGGGGTTTAGGGTTTAGGGTGCTTTGAAAGAAAGCGAGTTTTAGTCTAGTGCTACGTGAGTTAAAGGACCGTGGGTTTTTTGCAAGTTTGGGCGAGGATTGAAAGGCATGCTTGGGAGTTTTTGGGGCTTGGTAGTGTTGTAAACGCACCGGTGAGTCATTGGGGTCAAAGCGCAACAAAGTACGCCAAGCCCTCTGAAGACCAGGCCCATCCATCTGTTTGGGGGTGACTAAACATTTCTGCAGCCGTCAACCCTAAACCGTAAACCCGAAACCCGAAAACCTAAACCCAAAACCGGTCCCTTGCAATTCAGAGTCTAGCTAGTTGGATACTAAAGGAAAGGGCTTCTCAGAACAGTTGAGATTAACTCGGGGATAAACCCTCAAGCCTGAAACCTGGGTCTCCAACGCGAAGCCCCAAGTACGCCAAAGAAGCTCTACCCAAAATCGTAAACCCCATGTTAAACCCCTGCAATATTACAACCTATCATGAGTCGTGCGATCCACATGATCGCGGCTCCTGTGCTGATACATTGATCCGACTCGTCGTGTCGCGATCCAGATGGTTGCTCTTGGGAGCCTTTTATCCCGCCCCGATTCACGCAAGCCCCTGATCCAGATTCTTGGAGCTGATACGTCGTCCTACCCCTATCATGAAACCCTAAACCTTCTAAACCCTCTCAACCTCTAAACCCTCTAAACTCCCAAAACCCCCAAAACCCTCTAAACCCTCTAAACCCCCAAAGCCCTCTAAACCCTCTAAACCCTCTAAACTCCCTAAACCCTGTAAACCCTCCAGGCCCTAAACCTCTTTCTAAACCCTACACCCCAAACCCCAAACCCTAAACCCTAAACCCTAAACCCTTTCAATGCCCATCATGAGCAGCCCCTAAGCCCAAAACTCGAAGCCCAAGAGGGCCCCAGGTGCCCAGTGCGGCGCGAAGTTCGCCTCCAACGAGGCCCTCAAGTCCGTCTCCTACCCCATCCAGGCAGCTTCGGGTTTAGGGTTTAGGGTTTAGGGTTTAGGGTTTAGGGTTTAGGGTTTAGGGTTTAGGGTTTAGGGTTTAGGGTTTAGGGTTTAGGGCTTAGGGTTTGGGGTTTCGGGTTTAGGGTTTAGGGTGCTGTGGGGCTTATAAGGTCCAGGAGCCCCCACCCTGGGGGTATCTCTGGCACCTTAGGCACGCCTTGCGCGCCGCTTGCGAGGCTTTGGCCAAGTCCTCCAAGACTCTGCCAGCAATGCTGGGCTGCCTTTGGAGTGGTGGCGCTTTGCATGGTTGGCAGACATCGGGCGGGTACTATACTTGGAGGTTCCGGGTACTTAAGGCCCCAATTTATACTTGTAGTTATAAGCCCCTAAGTTCCCCCTAAGTAGGTTATAAGTAGCCTTATAACTGGGGTTATAAGTACCCATGAACCTCCGAGTAGGGGAGCTTAATCATTAGAACAGGGCTTTGGGGGGGTTGTTGTGGTATAAATATCAAGGGCCGCAAGGTAATCTGAACCATCCACCATGAGCAGCCAGGTAAGCGGATCACCACACTGCAGTGGCTTGCAGCCTTTGGCATCACGCCGCGACCTCGGTGCGGGTTTGGGATCTTGGAGGTTTTGCCGGTTCAGGGGGGGATGCTGCTGCACCAGAATCGAATAACACCGGCGATTGTGCGTTCAATGTACGCTTGTGTCTACTTCCATGGTAAGTCTCTTCACCCTGGACGCTAAAACCCCAGAATCCCAGAAGCCTAAGCTCTCAACCGCCTGGACACCGCCAGGCTGGGCACTGCCGGATTCTCCATGTCAGGAAAGAAGGGCGGAGACATTGAGGCTGAGCAAACCTGCGGGCAGTCGTGCAGTTGCTGTGACAGCGATTGGTGGTCTGCTGTGGCAGGTACTGCTTCCGTAATTGCTGATTGTTGTTTTTGTTTTTTGGTTCTTTGTGTTTGTGTGTGTGTGTGTTGATGTGTGTTGATGTGTGTTGATGTGTGTTGATGTGTGTGTGATGTGTGTTGATGTGTGTTGATGTGTGTTGATGTGTGTTGATGTGTGTTGATGTGTGTTGATGTGTGTTGATGTGTGTTGATGTGTGTTGATGTGTGTTGATGTGTGTTGATGTGTGTTGATGTGTGTTGATGTGTGTTGATGTGTGTTCTTAGCCGTTCGTGTGCAAACTTTTGGACTTTCAAACTTTTATTCTGCTTAACAGGATAAGCTCCTTCAGCCATTAGCCGCCAAGCTCCGAAAAAAACACACACACACACACACACACACACACACACACACACACACACACACACACACACACACACACACACCCGCACCCTAAACCACAAACCCTAGAACCCTAAACCCTGAACCCTAAGCCCTGAACCCTAAACCCTAAATTTAAACCCTAAACCCTAAACCCTACACACTAAACCCTTAAGCCCTAAACCCTAAGCCCTAAACCCCAAACCCTAAACCCTAAACCCTCAAACCTAAACCCTGCACCCTTCACACCCTTCACACCCTTCACACCCTAAACCCTAAACCCTAAACCGGATCTCTAAAGCCCTAAGCGAAAGTCTTCGTCGGTGTCGTCGCGCAGCTCCCTGTGCCGCCTGCCGCTCCCTCAGTAAGCTAAACTCTAACCCGGTGGCCCTAAACCCTAATCAGGTTTAAGTTAGGTTTCTGTTTGGCGTCGGGGTCGGGTGTAGGATTAGGACGCCAAATAGGAACCTAACCATGCCATGCATGACATGACACGACACACGGCATGTAGGATGTGAATGTGGATTCGAAATCGAGGATTTCGAATCCACCATGACATGCATGCATGAGCGGCATATGCGCATGGCCATGTCATGTAGGATTTGCTTCGGGGTCGAAATTGACATTTCGTCCCCGCCATGGCCACGTCATGTGGTGACACACGTCTATACTGCTGTGACTGCTGCATGGGCGGCAAGAGTCACAGCAGTATAGACGTGTGGCACCTACATGCATGCATGCACGCATGCCCCCCCCCCCCACCCGTAATCGCCTTCGGCGTCCCATTCCAATTCCCAGGGCCTCCCAGCCTTCGATGTCGGAAAACTTGGCCAAATTCAAAATTTTAAAGACTCTTCCTTTGCTCGATGCCTCGACTTCCCCCGCCGGGCTGCTTTTTGATTGTTTCGTTCAACACCAAACAGTGGGTGGGCCCGCGAAAAACGGTGGGAACATATTTTGAGAATAAGGGACCAATGGGAGGGGTGCTGGTCAACGGGAGAACTTTCTTTCGTTTTTTTGGGGTTCTCCTTCGCTTTGCGGGGCTGGGGGCTGGGCGGGCTGGGGGGGGCGGCTGTAAGGGTTTTTTTTTACAGGGATCCCAAGGCCTTCCAGGGGCTTCCCACCCATTCAACGGCCTTTCAGCATGTAGCAAAACCTCGTAAGCGCCTGTCAGGCGCCTCCAGGGCCTCCCAGAAACCCAGACCTCCCAAATATTCAGGCAAGACCCAGGCATTTTTTTGAGGGGGCCTGCCTCCTCCACCCCCCTCGCGTGGAGGCTGTCACAAGATGGGGGTTGATCTGCTTGAAATGTTTCATTTACTGATGACTGGTGCCTCTGGGGCCTCTGGGGTGGCTTACGTTGGTCCAAACAAGGTCACGAGGTGGAGTGCGTGCATACTCAATCAACATCAGCAACTGTGGTTCGAGATCGGGGTTGAACGCTTGAATTTTAGAATAGGCTTCAACAAAGGGTTGCGGGTGGTTGACAATTGCCAACACACTGCAATGCGTATTACACTGGTGAGTTTCTAAAACTAGAACAAGACCATATACATGATCGATATATCAACTACGCGCGCGCCAACTAGAAATCCCCAACAACTGCTTGAAAACACCCACCCAGGTTTTGGGCCATTTGCAAATCCAAAATGTCACAGGACAGAGAAATATTACATACTTCACAACAGGGCTGTGCAAACACGAAAAAGGCACTGAGGCAAAGCCGAGCAGGGCTTGGGGGGGGATGGGGGGGGCTGGGAGGGGGGTCGGGGGCGGGGGGGGGGGGGGGGGGGGGGGTCGGAGTCGAGGCCTGCCGAGAGCCCTGGCGCCTGCCGGAGATTGAAATTAGGGAGCCAGAGAATTGTTCATGAAACTGGCTCCCTAATTACATTACCACGACACCATGACATATCACGACATGCATGACCCATAAACCCTAAACCCTAAGCCCTAAGCCCTAAACCCTAAACCCAGGCCGTTTTTGGCTTTCGGAGTTTCATCAGGGCAACACGGAGGTAGGTAACCGCCTGACGGGCAACAGGCACCCATTCCACGAACTTAGCGGGGCAGAGCCGGGTGCCACGAACTTCTGCGAACCTGAGGACAGATTCACGAAGGGTCCAGCCAAGGGTTAGCTGGAAGACTAACCCATGGAGAGTAGATGCCCCTGCGAATGCAGGGAAGGTTCGACGAAGTTAGCAGAAGGCCACGAGGCTTCGGGCGAAGGGGCAGGGGCTTAGACGAGCTTAGTTTGGGGTGCCCCCCTTGCCCGGTCTAAGTGTTACCTCCCTTTGTTTTCCTCTCTGTGAAAGTGCAGGGTGCGAGTGATTGCGATCCAAGACTACTTTGTATCGTGTGGTGCCTGTTTCTGTTAAGGTCGCCCGGTGATGGCATGGCGTCGGAGTCGTCAAGCAGTCTATGTGCAGAGGCCTCATTCGTTTCAAGTCACTCTTTGACATGCAGAGTCCAGGGG